CATTTAAATCAATCTTCCTTTACATTTCTCATGAATTTTACTTGGTTGCATTACCCCAGGATCTGAAAAGTTCAAGGACCAAAGTAAGAAACTACTCAAAATATAGGGTTAGGTGCTGAAAAAGTGAATGACTTTAATAAGTTAGGTACAAATTATTTTTGAAAGCTAGATATTTTATGGTTATTAGTGTTTGATAAAATTGGAGGATGATTAATCAATGATTGATTATAAAATTTATTTTTATTTCAATATAGATGGAGAATAAATTCAAAAACTCTAGTAACATTGCTCTTAAAAATATAATAATAACACAGCCTTCTTCCTTTTCCTTCTGCTTATTCTGTGAAAAGAATTTCTCAAGAAATAAATCTATAAAAATGAAATTTAGAAGCCTGTCTCTTTCTAACAGTATGTTTTAATTGATACATAAGCTAGTTTTAAAAAGACAAAACTCCAAATGTGTCATCAATACATACATTTCCAAAAACATTTTACTTTTTTATGTTTATCAGCATTTTAATATATTTATTCTGTTCTGCTACATTGTGTGTTAATATTTGTAAGTGCTTTCCATTCCAAAAGAAAATTTTTAGCACATATAACCTTAGTCATAGAATATATAAAAGGAATATATTTTAAATTTCTATACATGTATATTTTGTCGTAACAAATTATATTATTGGTAAGAGACTTTAAAACAAACAATATGGGAAGATAGTGCAATGTAGTAAAATAAAATTACATGCAGGGAAAAAGAAAAATAAGTTGAATGAGTAAAATGAATGGCATACAATTTTCAATTTTTAAGAGATTTTTAGCTTTTAGATGGAAAATTACTTTAGCATTTTTATTTAATTTGACGCATTGAAACGAGTATCATCACAGCTTTATTTTAATAAGTCAGTACTGGCTGGGCATGATGGCTCAAGCCTGTATCCCAGCACTTCGGGAGGCCAAGGCAAAAGGATTGCCTGAGTCCAGGGTTAGAGACAAGCCTAGGCAACTTGGCTAGACCTCGTCTCTACAATAAGTGAAAAAATCAACCAGCCTTCGTAGGGTACGCTTGTAGTTCCAGCTACTTGGAAGACTGAAGTGGAAGGATTACCTGAGCCCAGCAGATTGAGGCTGTAGTGGTGATAAGTTTGCCACTGCACTCCAGCCTGGGCGACAGAGTGACACTCCAACTAAAATAAATAAATTAATAGATCATTACTTATGTAAGCTAAATCTTGTAAAACATTTAAATCTTGGTGAAGATAGACTACATCATTTTCAAACTATACATCTAAGGGTACACACTAACAAAGTCTGGAAACCACAGTGCTAGAACAAATGTTAGGCATAGAATTCAGTGCAGCGTTGAACCTGCTCCAAGATTTTTCTGTCCATGTCCATTAGGACTTCTCAGGCCTAACTGGATGGTGCTTCCCTAGAGGAAAATGGTGTCAAAGGTCACTGACTAAATTTAGTATTTATTATTTTCTTTAGGCAATTAATACACGTTAAAGGAATTTTTTTTAAACGAGACAGACACGTCTCCATTCTCCAGTAACCAACTCTCGTGACTTTCAGAATGATATGATAGTAATGAGACAGTATCTTGATGAATAAGCCTAAGCCTCTACAACCACAATAGACAAGGTAGAATTATACATCTTAGCAGGTTTCAGATCTGGACACCAGCTTCCATATTGCTATCAGTTAGAGAAAAAAAGTTTAGTTGTTTCTAAACAGGCTTTCAGAATAATGAGGTAATATTATTATCAAAAATAGTTTGTACCAAAAAAAGTTCTGGAAAAACTATATACTTTGGCAATTTCAGTGACATTTAGAATAAATCACTTTACTTAAAATAATTACATATTAATACTGTTTCTCCCTCCTGCCCCTTTTAGCATTAACTCATAATGCTTTCCTCTCCTCCCTCACAAAAGAAATATGAAAAAGAAAAAAATTATATATATATACTTTTTTTTTGAGTTGGAGTCTCACTCTGTCACCCAGGCTAGAGTGCAGTGGCATGCTCATGGCCACCAGTGCCTCCTGTATGGCTCAGGTGATCCTTCTACCTCAACCCTCCAAGTAGCTGGAACTACAGACGCATGCCTTCAAGAACCCAGCTAGTTTTTGTGATTTATTGTAGAGACGAGGTCTCACCAAGTTGCCCAGGCTGGTCTCGAACTCCCAGCCTCAGGCAATCCTCTTACTTCGTCCTCCTGAAGTGCTGGGATTACAGGTTAAGCCACTGTGCCTGGCCAAAAATTTTATTCTTTTGGCCAAAAAGCTCCATAATTCCTAGCTAATATAAAATGGTTTCCTGGCTGATGCAAATGCAGCAAATATATGAAGTTATACAAAGAATATGTGAGATTTTACTCAAAACATTTGGTTTTTTGGCCTCTCTACAGTAAGAAGATATCTGCTGAATTTTCTGATCTCAATTATGTCAGAATCAATTTACAGGTAAACATAAAAGTATATGGAGATTATATATTTGCACAGTAAAAATCTATGTAGTAAATGTTTTTTTCTTAGAGTTCTCAAGAAGCTTCGTATTTCTGTTTGAGACATTATTTCTATTCATAGCTCATTGGTGAGCATAAGGCCCCACCAACCACAAGAGGTAGAATGATCTAAACCTGTATCTGGAAGTGAAAAAATAAAATATTTTACATATATTATTGATTACCACAGCTAGTAAGACTATATAATCATTTTTTAAAGGTGACAAACATTTGAATTAATTTCATGTGGATTAAAATATCATAAGAAAAATATTAATTTGGAAAAAATAATATAGCTGCTTAAATTATTGTGGAGAAAGAAAATACAATTTTTCAAGTTACCAACAATGATAATCAGAGTTAAGGCGATTAATAGTGTTAGCGAATCATAGGTGATTTATGCAAGAGAAGAATATTTTTTAAAACAATCATTTGAGTGCCCTAAAAAGCAAGAGATGGGGCATGTCAAGGGACACAGGAGCTAACCTAAAGCAAAGGATCTCCCATGGTCAAATCTGGGGTAATTTAAACTATAAAATAAATTATGTGACATTAAATTATAACCCAAAATTTAGAATAAATATACACGAATCTATGCTGATATAAATGATTGAAAAAATAAACAAATAATCTAAGGAAAAGAAGTAAGTATTTTATGTAGAAGAAAGCTATTTACATGTGTAGTTATTGTCTTCTCCAGGAGGCAGGGCTTAAATTCACCCATCCTTACCACTACTGTTATGGGTATACTAGACTCAGTGACTAACTTCCAAAGCATAGAGTATGGAAAAGGAAATATAGTAACTCTACAGCAGGGACACCTGAAAAACATTTCCTTAGCCAAATGATGAAAGTTGACACCATTAGCAATAGTACAGGGGTGTCAGTTACTACCAATAGAATGTGATAAGGACACTTCTTCACCTGTGTGGTTTTCTTTCCCAAATTCCATAATCCCAGTCTAATTATGGGGAAAACACCAGGTGAACATGATTAATATCATGTGATCGAGGCTATCCTACAGGATATTTGGCCAACACTTCTCAAGACCATCGATGTCATGAAAAACAAGGAAAAGCTGAGAAACTGTCACAGATGAGGAAACTGGAGAGACATGACAGCTAAATAAATGTGGTAACCTGGATTAGAACCTAGAACACAAAGAGAACACTAATGGGAAAGCTAATGAAATAAAGTAAAGCCTAGTGTTTAGTTAACAATATTATGCCAACATCAGTTTCTTAGTTATAATAAGTGTACCATGATAATGCAAGATGTTAACTAGTAGGAAAACTGAGTGAAGGCTATATGGAAACTCTGTACTATCTTTGCAAGTTTTCTGTAAGCCTAAAATTATCCCTAAATTAAAATTTTACTTAACAGTTAGCTTTGAGTCATTTAGCAGGTGGCTAGTTAAATAATTATTTAAATACATAATTTATCAGAATGTAGGAATACCATCTAAGGAATTCGGAATCACTTTTCCCCCTCCTCATTGATATTTATAAATTTGATGCATAATTGGAGAACTGATAGTACAAATTAATAATAAGTTTTAAAAGCCCATCACCATCCTTTATATCTTTCAGGTACAAAGCAAGTGGTTTCTGGTTCTTTATGTCTAACTAATTTTTTTAGACACATTCATAAAGACACAACTTTGACTCACTCTATTTTCTATTTTTCTGAAGTCTGCATCTCTGAACTATGTGTAAATAGAACATTTATTTTTACCTCTAAATGTTGTCAAGTCATCTGAATATGATCTTTATACAGACTGGATAATTTGTTAAAGACACAGATAAGTGAACATGTTTTGCTACACTGTCTACATGTTTTCAATCAATATTTTTGGATCTTGAGTTAAAAATCTTCATGTATATAAAATATATTTGATTATTGTTTTGTATGTATGTGAAATATGGTTGTAATTATTTAGAACAAATGTATGACACTTTTTAAGTCATTGGCTGTCAAATGTAATAATTTTTTAGCTAAGGTGAAGGAAATGAAATGATCACTTTCATATGCATGACATTCTTTTAGAATTCAGAAAAGTGGAAAACATTTGGTGCATTTCATTTGATAATATTACTAGTATTTTAAAGCCTTACTGAACTGTATGCATTGTCTCTCAGTGTCCTAGCCAGCTATAACAGCTGTAATATACTTTTGATCTATAAATGTATAATTCTTTTATAAGAGCCCTTTATTTTTTTAAAAAAACTTTGCAAAAAAATCTTATTGAAAAGACTGGGAGTGACTAAGAAAGAACTGGGAGTTATATACAGAAATTAGAGTGATAAAACAACAATTGGTTGCTAAATAGAGCTTTAAACAGTATGTGAAACATGCTTCAGGTTAGTCAGAAGAGGTCCTCTGAATTACACCATGCATGCTTCCCTGAAATGAAACTGTATGTTATTGGTTAACCAGGATATTTAGCATAATCACTCTGCTAGACTGTGGTGGAGGGAGGTGATTATCACTGAGAACAGATGGGCAGGTCCACAGCACTGCCAGATTCTGCACAAGCTCCATTTATTGTTGCTTCTTGCTTTTTTCCTTCTGTGTTTTTAATTTTTTTAAAAAACCATTGTATGTTCTAAAGAACTAGCTGCACAAAGGTTGGTGGCTGATGACCTTTCAGCTTAGATTTCAAATATAGAAGAAAGAGTCTAAATGCTATCCCTGTGTATCTAAGAAGGATGGGGCAGATTTCATTTCACCCTCTAGTCTCCCTCAATGCATGCACGGATTTATCTGTACGCTAAGCTCTCTGCTCTGCCTCTGTAGCTCCTTGTGGATTATATTGTCTCTGTGATCAGAAATGATTTTCTCGGATATGAACACCGTTTCTGGCTCCCCTAAAGTGCATCCTCCTAATGGGACCCGGTTTTACACTTTTCAAGTAAGTGTGCTTTAAATGGCTTCACTACTTAGGAAGTTAATATATAGTCAAACTTTTAATAACAGGGAATATAGAGAAAGAACAACTGAAAAGTGTGGAAGTATTAAAGAGGATGTATGGAATGAATAATGTGCATGTCAGTTTAATCTGCTTTAAAATATGGAAATAGGAAGACATTAGGATTCTCTGTGAATTCAAGCAAAATAAGAATGAGCACGATTTACCACAGGAATTCTTAAAATCTTATACAGTATCATCCTTGAGGGTTTATGAGCTGTGTTGTGTCTCCTGATATTGTTATTTATGGCTATAATATGGTGAACATTGTAGAGTTACTTCCCTTATGCATCACAGAAAGAGTAGAATTGAAAGCCATTTTATAAACTTTGCAAACTAAGTCTTCTGGTTAGAAAAATGTTTGTATTTCATATACATAGCTGAACACAATCCTGTTATTTAATTTTCTTATATGTGTAATATATGAGCAATAAACAATACTGGAGGCTTAAGTACCATGTTTAGCATGATTTCCAATTTGAGATAGAGTCGAAACTCATTAAATAAAAGATTTTCTGTGTTATCGGAAAATCAAAATGATTTATACTATAAATATAAATGTTAGTTACAAAGCTGTTAGCTACTAAATGTATTTCAACTGCCTGTGAATAATCAGTCATCAGTCTAGAAAATGGTTAAGTCTACAGTAAATCAGGTTCTACCTCATTTTCATCTTCAAATTGCGCCTTTCAGTACTAAGGTTTACTTTGTAATTCAGTCATATCATCAGTACATGCAAAGGGAAAATGAACCTCTTCTCTATGTGTGTCTTATTGTATGGAAATATAAACAACCTGACATTTAATTATTTCGGTTGTATAGTTAGAATGTGTTGGAAAAAATAAGTAGAAAGACCTAGAGAATTAATATAGTAAAGGGTAAAGGTAGTGAGAATTTTTTAAAGGGTGCTCTGTATAAATGCACGTCTGAATTATAAGTCTCTTGCATTTGCAAACTGTAGGCAGTAGATATAATTACTCTTTTTCTCGCCCCTTTCTATACTTCTATTTTTAATCCTGTCGCCTCTCCTGTTTTACACTGATGTCTACTGATAGTGCAAGTCTGTGGTTTCACAGAATATATTCTCTTCCTAGTGGTGATCTGCTTATTGTGGCAGTGATTCAAAATGCAAGTGCCCTGGGGCTGTTCTACAAAATTATTACTTTTTTTTCTCCTTTCACTGAGATATAAACACCCTTTACAATATCCTGTAGTTGCTCTTTGGGTTAGCTTTTGACATTAGGCATTCTAATTCAGTCTTTTAAAGTTTAAGGGTCAGTAAATTCCATATACTCAGTCATGACACAGGATTTTTACAATTCCTTCAGTAAAGATCTTACTGACACCTTTCTTGGCAGGTGACTTCCTTCAAAAACACACCAGGATTTTTTTAACCACTCCTTTTTTTAAATTGGTGTAATAGTGTACTAATGTACATTCAGATAAAATCTAAAATGTTGCCAGATATAAAGTCTATTCTCCAACATTTTTAATTTCATAAATTGATATTTGACCCTGAGATTTATGATAATAGGCAAAATGTGTTTAAGTTTTGATGTTTCTCTCTCTCTCTCTCTCTCTCTCTCTCTCTCTCTCTCTCTCTCTTTTTTTTGCTGTTGTTTGGTTTGGGTTTTGGTGAAAAAGAGAAAGATTGTTTTTAAAACATGAAGATAAAGGTTTATAATAGTTGACTTGACTTTTATTTTCTAATTAAATAATTATTTTTCTTACATATATAAATTAACATTGAAGGGAGCATGTTTTCTTTGGTTGAAATACTATAAAAATAAAGAAGATACTGTACAGACCACTTGTCAAAAAAAACTCATGAAAATGATTAAAATTTTCAGAAGCAGTTCTCATTATGGAATGGTATAAATGTACTTCTAAAATGATTCTGCATCAGGGAGTTGGGAGTTTAATGCCTACTTAAAATTATTCTAGCACAGAAGTTAACATATGCAAATACATTTAAGATAGCTTTGTATGAATAATACTGGATTTTAGTTTAAAAGCTTCTCATTAAATGTCCAAAATATCCTGTCATTTTTTTCTGACATTGTTCATTATCAAATTTTAAAAGTAGGATTTAGAATGTGTTTGTCCTCAGTAGTTCAGAGGTGAAGAGGCAACAAATAAGCTGAAGCATATTCTAAGTACAAGACTTTATTTTTTATTGCATTTTAATTTAGACAAATACAGTCATATCAACACTTGCAAAAACATTTTATGTAGAATATTTAACAGTCTATTTAAATTAATTCCCATATATGTAAATTATCACTTTTATATTACTGTGAATACACTTGTTCCTGCATTTTTCTATTTAAAGGTGCCTGGGCCCTGAATGTTGCTAACACCCAATTTGTACCATATGTTTGATGACTTACTAATCACCAAAAAGCTGAGTTCTAGGTTATAGGTACCTAGAATGCCCTTTGATTGGCAACAATTAATATTAAATACTACTAAGGGAAATAATATTTGCAATATTAATTTGCATTAGAATTGTCAATTTATGGGACTCAAATAAGTATAAATGACAAACCTACCTTAAAACAAAAGGAAATAAATATATTTATGTATTAGAATGCAGTGAATTCTCCTTAATTTTATGTCCACAAAAATAATGTCTCAATGTGATATTATACTTGCTCTTTTATAGCTTCATTTTTGCATCTAAAACCCTCCAGATTGGCTACTAACCCTTCAGATTGGCTATTCATTACTTACTGTGTTCATCCTCCAGATGTATTGGCCACCACTATGGCTCCTGTCATTTCTTAGTCATACCTTCACCCAATCTTTCAGACCATGTCTGAACAACCCTAAGCTTTCATGGGAGTTTGTCAGTGGCAGTGGAGAATAGAAACACTCTTTGAGGTTCATAATGTTTATATATATATATAACTCCATAGAATCTCTGTGCATGCTTTCATGGACAACAACCAGGGTGCTACTATCAAATACAAACAAAAAAGTTTGCAAACCACGTCTTCAAACCAAGGATTTTTTTTTTCTGATAGAAGTACTTTTATCTTTTGAGCTCACAGAGGAATTATTTCTGTTTAAGATACATTTCTTTCATTTAATCCTAGCATTAATAATATTATCTGTCAGGACTGTGTATAAAAGTGACTAACTCTTGTTCTCTAAAACCAACTGAAAGAAGGAGAAAAACAATTTACTATAAAGCATGGAAACATCATCATCTTTCATTTCCATGCTTAAAATACGTAATGCATCTCGTCTCCTTAAGGATAAGGTTTATCTCCTCAGCTTAACATTAAAAACCCCTTGTGATTTGGGACACATGTAACATACTGCTCTACTTGTTTTCTCAGAAAGTTATTTGCTTGCTTCTCTGTGATCTTCTTTGCCTCTTCACTAAGCCTCCCATTGAAAAATTTTTCTTAAAGGCTCATCTCAAATGCTACCTCCTCCATGACGCCTTCACCCATTCCTATGTACTGTATTAAGTGCCTCTCCTTGCTCCCCTTTGCCTGTTCATACCACTGTTGGAACAATTTTTATGCTTTGTTATAATCCCCAAGAAACATTTTATTAAGCTGCATCCCTAACACATAGGTACCACCATTATCTCTGTTTAATAAGCTGGGGACATATATTTAAAAGGTAAATGAATAAAGTGTTAGCAAATAACACAATAAGTAACAAATTATTTTTCTTTTAACTATACAGGCAGTTAGTAAGACATAACTATATATTAAAAGGAGCAATATCTTAAAATGTTCAATTCAATAGTAAGACTTCATATACCATATAAAGTTGGATTCTTCAAACTATGTAACAGTTACATGAGTGATCAAAGAAAAGCTTTCATTTTATTGTTTTTAAATATATTCCTGTGGTAACAAGCTAAAATCTTTTTGGAGAATATTTCTATTCTTTATGTCTCTTTACCATTATGTATTAATTGGAATTTGTCTTATTTTATCAAGAAAACTTTAAAATTTGAACAGTATATATTTTCATATTTGGCAGATAAGATTAGCACATGAAACATATACAAGTAGAAGACTACTAGGTAAACTGAAGATTTCAATTGAATGATGAATTTTTACTCAAAAGATATCACTGGTAATTGATATAAAGCACTATATTTTTATAATCAAATAAGATTGAGGTAATTCTAGCTTTTCGTCAAAGAACCAGATTTTCCATATTCTATCATTTGTTGCTACCTGAGAGTCCACCATTATTTTCTATTATTTAGGGTACATTATATCTACTTATTGTTGATGAATTTATAATTCATCTGGAAATACCTATCAGAATGCTTTCCATGTGTCATGTGTTTGAAAAAAAAATAGTAAAGACAAAGTAGCACTTGACTCTAAGATTACTTAATTATATAAGAAGAGTCTTCCAACTAAGTAAATCAAGATTTTTCTCTGTCACCCATCATATGCATTCATGATTATGAATGGTAGAGATAATACAAGAGATATTTGATATAACTGGAGCATAACCTGAAGACCAAAAATAGCTAAAAGTACAGTGTGCAACTTCCAGATTATAAAGGTAGATTTGATTGTCATCCTCAAGATCTTAGACTTGGGATTTAAAGATTTTTAGCCAGGAGTAACAGGCTCAAATTTGCTGTTAAATTAAAATACTCAAAGTTGCCTTGGCTAGGAATTGAACTGGAACAGAAAGAACAATTCAGTAGCTTTCAAAAAAAATGCAAATGAGTTTTCATGATTCCCTAGTTTACAGATGAAAAAATAAATGTTCACAAAAGGTACCCAAATAGACTTTAATAATGCAGAGAGCAAGTAATGGAGTTTCTGTCTGTATCCAGGGATATAGAACACAAAAGTCCATACTCTTTCCCTTATTTTCTGCTGCCTAAACAATTAACGATTAAATCGTACTCTAAACTACATAATTTCTAATTCTGCTAATCGATTAAGGCAGAT